GRAAAMYWYCMARSCTTTGCTTTTTKGGATTCAGTGAAAGTCAGGGATGCTTTTCAGAAATAGAGCAGCGATTGAGCTGATGATTGCTGCCATAAACACGGCAGTTCTGGGGTGGCTGCTGYGCRGGTSGGTGACAGCTCCATGGGCTCCTCTGGCCCAAAATAACAAAGCCATTACTGCCCTCGCTGCTGCTGCCAAACAGCAGTAAAACATGGCATYGTTTGATGGCCTGCCCAAAACTCACAGGCTGCAGTTTTTCAGGGAAACCATTTACAATTGGCTTGTAGTGACAGGATTTGTACATTGAAAAAAATGCCAGACTGACCACATCAGGTGTTACTTGCTCTCTTATTGTTCTATGRCATTATTATTTMTTTTTATTATATATAATTTGCTATTTGCTATTTAATTTTTGCTATTTGTTAATATTTGTTGTTATTATTATTGCTRTTATCATCGTCCTCATCTTCATCATCTTCACCATCATCATTTTTGTATCAACAATCCATATTTAGGTTGTTTTAGAGGATTAGTTTTGACCCAAACTTTTATATCTAGCTAGCAATAACAAGCTAACTAGCAATAACAGTAAAATAAAACCCACTATGTTTTAGAAAAGCTGATTTCAATGAATTTTTGGAAACTTTGGAAATGTAGATCTCCTGGGAGACTGGCCAAAGGATGGAAGAAAAAGAGAAATTTCAGTTCCTCAAAGAAATGTTAGTAAATATTTGAGTTGCTTAGAGGAGCTTTGAATGCAGTGCTGATAATTAACATTTATTGGTCTCTAGCAGGGGCACAGCCCTGTTTTAATTTCATTATTTTCTGCAYTCCAGGTGTAATTTCTTTCTTTGCCTTTTAGGTACAATTGAGAATAAAGCCTACATTTACTATGAGTTTAAAGTTTCCAATGTAAGTATTTGATTTTAAATTGTATTAAGTTTCGGTTTTGATTTTTATCCAGTGTTTTCCAAGAGCATTCTTTTTTTCTTCTTCTTACATTCTATTGTAAGATTCCCTGGGAAACAAAATATTTGCCAAAGCCAAAGAGGAATCATGTTTAAAATGCTGCCATTGAGCTGGGATGAAATCAGTTGTCTTTTTTTCTCCTAGTTAATACAAATATCTAAAGAACTCCTATTTCATTAATAAACTCAGCAAAAAGATGTACTGAACAAGAGAGCTCTAAAGCATAAGTGGTATTTAAAACAGTAAAAAAGGAGGAGCATGGAGTGTTTGGGATTYTCGAAACAGTGGGAATTGGTAAAAAATATCTATTTTAAACTGTGAAAATATGGCTGAACTTCTCCAAAGAGTGAGGAAGACCCATATCTTGTCTGAACCCTCAGAAATGATATCAGAGTTAATTTTTATTGTGTTATTTGAAGGTGAAAGTGCCTTTGCAGGGTTCATTAATGTCATGGTGGAGTCCTTAGAGTGTTTCTCCAGTATTGATGGTAATGATTGCATAAGCAGGGCTGCAAATAGCGCCATAACATATTATTGTACAATAATWATAATAATGATAATAATTACAATATATGGTAAAGGTATTCATTCCTTCGCCATGATGGAAGAGCATAAAACAAGCAAGAGAACGCAGAGGAACATGAGCAAAGCACATGGATTTTTATTTTTAAAATCATAATGAATCAGAGGATCATTTGTAGATAAGACAGCCTGGCTGCTGTTGGAGTTTGAAACTCCTGTGSTCAAATCATCACTTGGCTGTGACGACATTGAATTAAAAATTAACCTGAATGCTCCCATGGGGAGCAATAAGGAAGTTCTAACACGTGGGATAGCTGTGGTGCAGTTCCTCTGACTGGACTCTGAATCTAAAAARAATTAATGGAATGGGATGGAAAAGGTATTTTTATATCAAGAGTAAGAATCTTTGGTTGGTGGAACCCAGTGAGAAACTCCACCTATCTGGGATTTCTGCCCTGCYTTTCCTGAATTCCCAAGCAAGCAATAAAAGCTGAAACTCGATTCTGAAGTTGAATTTATACATGGTAGAAAAGCTTTATTGTGATAACAGAAAGCAGGGCAATAATTAATTTGTGCGGGACAAGATATTGGCTTATTTATGCTACAATGTGAAACTATTCACAGAAAAAAGAAGTTAAATCAGGAAGATTTTTGGGCAGATTTTCAAAATAAGAATATGACCACTCTATTATTTATTATTTTTCAGAACGTGCTAGAAGTGACCGCCACACACAGCAATTACAACGATACAAACAACCTGAAATTYGAGGTGATCAAGATATTTGGATTGCCCCAGGAAATAGCATCTGTTTCTGTGTCTCCAAACGATGCTGGGCCAGGTTATCCCCCTCAGCTCGCCTATGACCCTGTGAAAAAGGTAATGCAGTAACAGGAAAATGAGAAACATATTTAAAATAACACCACCCTTATTTTATATATTGCACAGGAYAGTGCTCAGTGCCAATGCTGTTCCAATGGAATACAATGGGAATTTTATTACAGAATAAAAGTACAATTGCATTCAACTCTGCTGCTTAAAAGTGCATCTAAGTTATGCTCTCAGAGCAGCAGACAGTTTAGTTCATGTATTTATTCCTGTGGGATTAACTTCATTTTTTTTTTAGTGTCTTAATTTTTCAGATTTTATCTGTAAAAATATCAGTTTTTTGTCTTTGTAAAGGTGAGATTGTATTAAATATTACAGGTTTTTGGGATTTTTTTTTTTTGGTGAGTTCTCAATTTTTAAGTGTATTATTCTTGATGACCAGCACCTCTCCTGACTGAAGGAAAACTGTATGGGATGTGACATTTAACAACTCTTTCTCATTTAATATAAGGTTGCCCTCATAAGTGGACTTCAACTTGAACTGGGAAAATCTTACACAATCAAATGGACACTAAAAGTGAATGTCAATCAAAGGTTTGATTGTTATCCCAATCCTGATCCAACAAAAGAGAAATGTGAAGCACTTGGCTGCACCTGGGAAGTAAGTTATTTCTCTGAACTAAAGAGACAGAAAAATTTCCAGAATCAGAGATTCTTTTTGGTGGTGGCTACAGAATAAAAGCAGTCTGGGAGATCKGTCAGATTTAAATAAAATGGGAGCATTTACTGGTGGATTTTATTTACCTCASCAGCTGACAACCATTTAAATTCTACCAAAGTATGGCAGAAGTTGAGGAAAAATGTGAAAGATTGAAAGATGAAAAGCAATAATGTTGGAGTTATGGAAAAGTAGGAGAGCATCTTCAGCTGCCCCTTCTGCCTCCCCAAAATCACTCACAGCCACTGAGGGACATTTTAGRTCAAACTGGATCTCAGTTTGAGAGGAAATCCTTGAATTCCACAAAAATTTTGAATTGGTTGTAAATTTAATTGTTTGCACCCACATCAAAGAGCTATTCCCAAACCTTAATCTCCTATGTGAAGCTCTTTAACCCATGGTTCTATTTATTAATATTATTAATTATGAATAAACACTTTGGAGCAATGTTCCCTGGCAGGGTTGAACTTTCGAGGGTCCCTCCAACTGAATTACTCCATCTAAATCTGATATTTACTAAATCAAATGTTCATTTTGGGCCTTTCGTTTAGGAATGAAATCTAAAATTCTGTGCTGGCTGCTTCTGAACCTGCAGCAGCTGAAGCTGTTGATGAATTGCTCTGGTTTTGCTGCACTTTTTAAAAGGATTTTTTGTAATTCTGGATTATTTGGAAATGCCAGGAGATCTCAGATGAGTAGGATGTAATTTTCCCTGGATATTCTAAGGATAATTTGTGTGAACAAAGCCAGTGGAAAGATCTTCTCTGATGTTCCTGAGAATGAAATGGGGTTTGGGCACATCCCCTTGAAGGCAGCCAGAGAGCAATGGGATTAAAAGGAGGGAGCTTTAGGAATTCCCACAAGCCAGGATTAAACCATGCCAAGGGATTGATCAGAAGATCACAGAGATGGGGGCATTAAATCCACCTTCACTGCACGAGGGTTCAGCTTCCTGACTGAACTATTTTTATCATCCCTGGGTCACTGCAGAGATTATTTGATATTATTTCCCTATTCAGGATTGCATTCATTTCCCCCAAAAAACTCTACATTTGACAGAGATCTGATAAAAGCAGCGTTCCATGCTAACACCTAGTAAAAACTCTATCTGGCTCACTAACCTGGGACTCCTTTCTGTTTGCACCAGGAGATACCAAACTCGAGAGCTCCTGCCTGCTACTACAGCTCCAGCAATCCCTACTCCATAACAAATGTCAATTATTCCTCGGATGGAATCGTGGCCACCCTGGGCTTGGACAGTTCCAGGGTCAGAGCCACCGACAAYCACACGGCCCCGATCAGCACCCTCCGCCTGGAGGTGATTTATCACCTCAACAACATGCTGCAGTTCAAGGTAATGCCATCCCAGAATTCCTGGCATGTTTTATTGATGGAAATTCACAGGGCTTTTTATAGCCAAATTTATATTTTGCAGTCAGTAGCGGCCTTGTTTAAATACATTTCTCCTTCTCAGCAATCATTGTTGCTCTTTGCCTGCATCTTTTTTTTTTTTTTTTCTCCCAGAATTTTGCACTCAGTTTTACAAAGAAATTACATGAATCAAAGGTATAATGTCAGTGTATAGGTGCCGTGACAACCAGGAACTTTGCAAATATTTTGTTAATATGCAGGTAAATTTATCTGTGAGTGTTATCATGACTCTACAGTTTATTTTTACATCCATCATTGCATTTCATCCTAGAATATGCCATACACTGTTTAACTGGAATTTATTGCCATGTGTTTAGTGATATTAAACTCAGTGGTCAGACATCTAAAACTGACGCCTTTCAACTTTCAGAATACAGAAAACATTTAAAAGGATCTCTAAAACTGGAGTGAAATATGAACCAGAAAATTCTTTATCACACACAGTATATACCTTTATTATATATATATAATTACCTATATTCATATATGTTTTATAAATACCTATATTTTAAATATAAATATGCACTTTAAATTCACATAGATAGACAAGCTATTTCTGATCCAAAACAAATCTTAAGGGTTTTTGATTGAGACTTTCCCACCCCCCAAAAAAAAAATCCTGTGAAAGAACGGGTTCAAGAATTTGAGGAAATACCACAGCAAGTGTTTTAAAACTGATATCAGATTCAGATTTCGAACAACAGACTTTTTGAAATGAATGGATTTTTGCTTTGCAGATCTCTGATTACCAAACCCCACGGTACGAGGTTCCCGTGCCCCTGAACCTCCCCAGCTCCCCCGCCAGCTCCAGCCAGGAGCGGCTCTACGAAGTGGCGCTGCAGATCAAACCCTTCGGGATCCAAATCCGCCGCAAGAGCACGGGCACCGTCATGTAAGCCACTGTCCCTTCATCTCATTTCATTTATCCTGTTTTATGGCTCTTTTAAAGCCAAACCTTTTCCCTGTGTACATGGATGATCATGTAAGCCAGTGTTCCCTTCTCTCATTCCATTTCTCATGGGTTATGGCTCTTCTCAAGCCAAACCTTTTCCCTGTGCACAGGGATGGTCATGTAAGCCACTGTCCCTTCATCTCATTTCATTTCTCATAGTTTTATGGCTCCTTTAAAGCCAAACCTTTTCCCTGTGCACAGGGACGGTCATGTAAGCCAGTGTTCCCTTCTCTCATTCCATTTCTCGTGGTTTTATGGCTCTTTTCAAGCCAAACCTTTCCCTATGCCCATTGGAGTGAGAAGCCCTGACAGCTCTGGGAGCTGCTCCCTGTGCKCTTTCCAAGGTTCTGGGGGGCACAAGGATTTTTTACACTTCCTAAAATATTCCAGAGGTGACCACAGGGCTGATCATTCATGATTGACTACTTGGGTCAGTTTTGGGGGATGGTCAGGGAAAAAAAAATAGAGAGTAGTATCCCAACTAACCTGCAGATGGGTTTTGGTAACACAACAGATGAGTCTGGCAGGAGCTGTATTTTTTCCTTGATTAAGTCAGAGCTCAAAACCAGAGAACAATAACATTAGCAATGGTGTATGTTACACTTTTTTATTAAAAAGATTTAATTTCTTAAAGTACTCAAAACTTAATTGCAATTTGAGTTCCTTTTTGCCAACCAGAATAATAATTCAACCTGCAATTCAAGCTCCTGGAACAATGYAATTCTCTGGCAGAGCCCATCAGGCTGCAGTTTAGCTTCTAACTGGAAAGATGTTGATTTATAACAAATGTGACCTGTGAATGCAATTTCAGTGTAATCTGCACAAAAAGTTCAGTGACCTGTAAAAAGCACTTTATTTACTCTATTCCATGTGGCTCCAGTGTTCAGCCTGGGAGGAAAATAGGATTGCAGTATCCCGAAATGCATTTTCTTACTAAATTGCTAAAATGCGATGCACCTTGATGCCTGTGTATGATTCCTCTGTCTGAAAGGCACAAAGGCCTTTGTGTCCCTAAAATCTTCTTCAGTTTTTAGACACCCCCATCTCACGTGCTCTAAGATTTCTTGATAAACACAACAGTTTTAGCCCACTTTTACTGAGGAGTGCCATTTCCAGAGAAAAAGAGGGGTCTAAATAAAAAACATCTGTCAGAAACACCACCCTGAGGACGCCGTGTTCTTATCATCCCTTTCCTCTCTCCATTCCAGCTGGGATTCCTCCCTGCCCACCTTCACCTTCAGTGACATGTTCATCCAGATCTCCACCCGTTTGGCCTCCCAGTACATCTTCGGGCTGGGGGAGGCAGAGCACCCAACCTTCCGCCATGACATGAACTGGCACACGTGGGGCATGTTCACCCGGGACCAGCCTCCTGCTGTGAGTAGGAAAAGGGCAAAAACAAAATGGGATTTTTGCCCCCATGGGTGCAGGGGTGGTCAGCAGGATCTGAAATCCATTAGTTGTCTGCTGGTACTGACAATTGGCTCTGACCACATTTATCATCTTTTATGATTTGGGTGGTGGCTCCATGGCAAAAGGTCTATCTGTAAATCCATAATTTGTGACCTGCAAGAATGATGTGAAGAGCTCAGGCCCCGAGTCAGGTATTGAAACRTGACAAATGTCTTAGGAATAACAGCACATTCTTCCTTTTTTTCTTCTCAGCTCATTGTTTCAAAAATTAGACAAGAGTCAGAACAATTCCTATTGTTTGTGGGTTAATTTAGTACTCACAGAGGTAAATCAGAAATCTTATCTCTGTTTATTTGTCTTGTTTCCTGCAAGATAACATTTCCAATTTTCAGAGAATGGCCAAAGAAATAGCAGCAGCTCATTACAGCCCTAATTCCAGTTCAGGCTGGAATACATTTTGAGAAAATGAGATAGAACAGAAGGTCACCAACACCTCCTGAGCACACACAGACCTGCTCCTGTTGGAAAAGCAAGGGAAGTTGTGTCCTGAGGAAGCACCTTCTCATTAATGAGATTTGAGTGCAGCAACACCTTTGCTTTCCTTCCTGCCTGAGCAGTGTGAACAAGACCCACTCAAACTGTGAAGTTCACAGTGACCTTCTGTGTTTTGTGGTTAGGAAGKGTTTAGGTGTAAAAATTTAAAGTTTATTTGCTCCGTTTGGCAATTGTCTCGTATCTTATTAAATTTATCACTAAAAGTAAATAAGCAAGCATTTGCAATGTTTCCCCAGTAAAATGTACTTTATTTTATTTGCAGTACAAGCAGAATTCTTATGGTCATCACCCATTTTACATGGCTCTTGAAGAAGATGGCAATGCCCATGGAGTTCTCCTGCTCAACAGCAATGCAATGGGTATGAAACCCTTCACTTTCTGTCATAAAATGGCCATAAATGAGTTGGAAGGGACCTTAAATCCCATCCCACCCCTGCCRTGGCAGGGACACCTCCCACTGTCCCAGGCTGCTCCAGCCCCAATGTCCTGGGCAACGCCAGGGATCCTGGGGCAGCCACAGCTTCTCTGGGAAGGGAAGAATTCCCTCCCAAGATCCCATCMATCCCTGCCCTCCTTCAGCTCAAGGCCATTCCCCCTGTCCTGTCACTGTCATTCCAGACATCTGTAAATGGTCTCTCTCCACCCACCCCAGTGTTTCATTTTCACAGTCAGTGCTGCCCCAAATCCAGGCATTCTTTCCTTACTTCCTCCCTCCCTTTCCAGATGTGACTTTCCAGCCCACCCCTGCCCTGACCTACCGCACCACCGGCGGCATTCTGGATTTCTACATGGTCCTGGGCCCGACTCCCGAGCTYGTGGTTCAGGAATACACTCAGGTASGACCSTGGCTGAGGCTGGGCTTTGTGGGGTTGGCTTTATTTCTCTTCCCCTCCTCACCAGCATCATCCTTTCCCGTTTTCAGCTGATTGGGCGCCCCGTCATGCCRCCCTACTGGTCCTTGGGCTTCCAGCTGTGCCGCTACGGATACGCCAACGACTCGGAGATCGCCCAGCTGGTGGAGGAGATGAAGGCCGCACAGATGCCCTTTGTATGTTGGCAACTCTTGACATTCGAGCTTTTGGCTTYATAAAACYRTGTAAACACTAAACCAGAAACCAASTAAAAAACCCTGCCGYGGTAGGGAAGAGYRGATTTTGTGCCACAGGCTCTGGGMTGTSTTAAAAGCYGATTTATTTTCTTTATTGTTCACACCAAAGAATGCCAAGAAGATGCAGTGATCAAAATAAGAAGGGACAAGGAGGAAGCAGCATCATTTCGTTGCTGTCACGTCAGCTGTGATTTGGCTCAGGTTGTTGTTGGGATAGTCAGAATAGCACAAAGTTCCAACAAAATTATTTTATAAATGGAATATTATTTCATTTTCAATATAAGAATATCGATGTTTCAGTGCAGAGCAGCTGTTTCCACTGTTTCCTCATAGATATGGAAATATACGTGCAGTTTCTGTGTACACCCATATGGACAAATCCMATTTTTTTCTCAATCATGTATCAATTCCTGCCCTCAGATTAGATGCAGCAGTGAAAGGTTTATTTTGTTTTGGACTTGCTGATAGATTGTGTAATATTCATTTAACAACTTCAGCCTGAAGTTTACACTGTGTCCAATTTTACACATCAAAAGGTTCGTATTTTACTTGTTTTGGCAGATTTTTCAATATTTGGCAAAAAAAAAGGAGAGAAAATCAGTTAAAATTAATCAGGTTTATTTTTTTTAAACTGCAGGATGTCCAATATTCAGATATTGACTACATGATAAGGCAAATAGACTTCACCCTCAGCCCACACTTTGCTGGATTACCGGCTCTGATCAACAAAATCAAGGCAGAAGGAATGAGATTTATCATCATCCTGGTCAGTTTGGGATATTTCTCTCATATTTCACTATAACTTTTCAAAACTGAGGATATATTCCACCTGAGTTTTGAGCATAAGGGTAAAAGTGTTTTGAATTGCAGGATCCAGCCATTTCTGCAAATGAAACCAATTATGCTCCCTACACCAGAGGTTTGGAGAARGATATCTACATCAAACGGCCTGGTACCAATGACATTTTATTTTCCAAGGTACTGTCCAGGCAAGAATATTYAAACYTGTGTGTTGRYTGGTGCTCAGTTTGTATACAGAATMRTTTTGATTGTTTGAAATATGCTTTGTCCTCTTAGGTCTGGGCATTCCTCCCCAATGTTGAAATCGATGAGTCGCTGCCTCATGAAACACAAGTGGAGGTAAATATTGACATGGTTTGGATCTRGACTCAAATATAGATGTTAAWTAACAAAATTAATTAATTAASAAAAATAGCAGCAAACTTGTTGATTAATCTCATGGGAGGAACAAGTTGCAGAAACTGGTTAAGCCTTCCTACAAGCCAAAAACATTAGTGAACAAGGAATGATTTTTGTCCTTTGTTTGTTTGTTTTAATTCCAAAATTTTAGCTATGGGATGCCTTCAATCCCCTTACCTGTCTTTGTTTTCCTTCTGTTTTTCCAGCTCTTTGCAGCACATTCTGCCTTCCCAGACTTCTTCCGCAATTCCACGGTGGAGTGGTGGAAGAGGGAAATCCTGGAGGTCTACAACAACCCCAACGCCTCCCTGAGCCTCAAGTTCGATGGYCTGTGGATTGTAAGTGCAGAAATTAATCTGATTTCTGGGTTGGTTTTCTCTGCCTGACCCTGGTGGAGAGGGCCACAATTCCCAATTTYGTGTCTGCATTGCTCAATTTCTAGTGCTAAATTCCCATTAAGGAAATGTTGGATTTGATGATCTTGGAGGCTCTTCCTGTGGAACAAAGAATCACTGAATCACAGAAGAGTTTAAKTTGGAAGAGTTCTTAAAATTCCCATCCCACCTCTGCCATGGCTCTCCCATGTCTCCCCTGGGACACCTCCCACTGTCCCAGGCTGCTCCAGCCCCAATGTCCAGCCTGGCCTTGGGCACTGCCAGGGATCCAGGGGCAGCCACAGCTGCTCTGGGCACCCTGTGCCAGGGCCTGCCCACCCTACAGGGGACAATTCCTGCCCAAAATCCCATCTCATTTTGCCCTCCTTCAGCTCAAGGCCATTCCCCCTTTTCCTGTCACTCCATGCCCCCACAGAAAATCCCTTCCTTGCCTTCTGTCACTCCCTTTATGGAACACTGAATGTCCAACTGAGACTGCAGCAATCCTGCAATGCTCTCTGTGTGAAATTCAGAATTTAGGGTCAAAGAAAGATCAGTGGGGTTTTGCTCTGTGTTTGCAGGACATGAATGAACCAGCAGTTTTTGTGAATGGTGCTGTGGATGGCTGCAGGAACGACCTCCTAAATAACCCACCCTACATGCCTCGTAAGTCTGAGTCCCCCCTTAAAACACTTTTAGGTTTTTCTGGTTACCACATCAATTCTTATCAGGTATATGGGGCGTAAAAGCTTAAATAAAGCTGGGTTTACAAAGCCACAGCTCCTCACTGAACRTGGCCCTTTATTTCTGACATTATGGGCACACTCCAAGCCCAGATTTTCCAGCAGGAGCTGTGCAGCACTTTGTAAAAATGAAGTTATTTCCAGCTCCTTGCTGCATATGGATTTTGATCCCTATTTTGTGTCTAAGTGCTTTGCTTGAGGCACGGCAGAGAATTGAGCTCTGTTTTGCAGTTTTCTCAGATGAATAATGCAATTAATTAAAAATTTAGAAAATATCCGTGCRTCTGCTCTCATTAGCATTTATGTGAGCAGTCAAACGCTCGAAATGCTTCGCTTTCTTAGCTTGGCTTTCCTGAAGTACTGGTGTAAAGCAGTACTAATTAGGAATTATTTATTAATGGTTTATTAGCATACTCTTGCTGCTTACTGTTGTGTTCAGGTTTCATGAGTGGTTTCTCAGGAATTTCCAGGAAATTAATATTCAGACACAGACTATTTTTCTGTTTATATGGATGGTATTACATCTTTTGTTTCCAAAAGATTTGAAATATTTTCTGATGTACTCTGATTATTCTGTGAGCCTGTGCAGTAAGAGCATTTGTAACTGAGCTATTGAAACATTTACAGACCCAGATACTTACAGGGAATATTGGAAATATTCTGGTTTGGAAATGCTATTTTTGTAATTATAAATAAATGACGGTGTACATGCAAATTGTGAAAATTAATATGAAAATTAAGGAAACATAACTCAAATTATTAATACACATTGCTAAYAATAAATACATTTCTTCCTTTTCCACTAGATTTGGGATCCAGGCATTTAGGATTGTCCTACAAAAGCCTGTGCCTGGAAGCTCAACAATACCTTGCAGACGGGACCCCAGTCAGGCACTTTGATGTCCACAATCTTTATGGATGGTCCCAAACCAAACCCACCCTGGAGTAAGTGCTTTGCATGCTCTGTGCTATATCAAAATGTGTTCTAAATGAATATTCCGTGCAAAACCAGTGGAATGGAKAAAAATTTGATAGGAAAAGGAACATTGCCATCGTTTCTGTGTTTAAAGGATGAACTGAAATATTTCCCCTTCTTTTGCGAGGCACCGCAACAGAAATCGCTACAATAAATTTCACAGCTTACACAGATATTCTCACACTGGAAATTTATAGAAAATGTTATCTACAAAATATATATATTCATATAATTCAGTCTCAAATTTATTCTTTGGCAGTAACTGGAGGGGTACTTGTGAAACTGAAGAAATGTAATAACTTATTTTGATACTAAACCATCCAAACAGAAAGATTATTTGCACACTAAACTCACAAWAGCCTGTAACTGAAAAGTGAGCATCAATATTTTATGTAACCTGGTGYCATTTGAGCTCTCCATCCGTCARRCACAGAAACTCTGGGACATTGCCCTGATGTTGTTCTTTTGTGATGAGGTTTTTGGATAGCCAGAGCCCTTATTTGTGAATACAGGAGCTGTTTGGAGGTAAATTCAGCCTTTGTGACCTGAAAATTGTTTTTCATGGGTAGAGCCATGGAGCTGCAGGGCTGAGCCTTTGGTCAGAGAACACTCAGGTCCTGCTCATCCCTGAGCAGTTCTACACKTGACATTCCCTGYCTTCACTTTTTCCATTTTAKCTGCCACTTCCAAAGCRTTATTGACACAGGGAAAGCAAACAGAGAATGAAAATGTGGGATGGCATCTTACAAAGGAATGAAGGATCCYAGAWAACTTACTGTTTGTCTTGGAGGAAATAATTGTGGCCCATTAGTCTGGCTTAATTGTTATGGTAATTRAAGTGACTTGTGTATCTTTGCTGTAATTATGGTGTCACTAAAGCTGCAAAYCCTACAGAAAAATAAGCAAACAGTGCCTTATTGAAGCAGCAGTTTGGGCAATTATGCAGCTCTTATTGGAGATTTAAAATCAGGAAGATTTTCTGCCTAATATTCACATTRACATCACATCACCTTGGTGTTTCTGAAGTGACCGCAAATCCCTTTTTAAAAAAAAATTCCAATATCTTTTAGTCAACTAAACTTAAGCTGAGAGGTCCAACATTTCTACTCCTTCCGTTTTCACTCTTGTGAGCCTTTTGGTTTGGTTCTGGCCAAATGATTTTCAACTGTTGCTTCAATTTTTTTTTTTGGATTTTATTAAAGGAATGACATGCCCTGGAATACTTTATAGAGCCCTTAGAAAATGGGCTCAGAAAAGTTTTGCTACATTCCTATTTCCCCAAGCAGCAGTGAGTCTGAGCTGGAAAACTGTATTTTAATGCTTCTTTTAAAGTCCAGTTTGCAGCTGCAGGTTGGCCAACACTGCTGAGATTGTGTGGGTAATACTGAATTGCCATAAAAAGCACAAATGGATTGGATGTATATAACGCAGCCCTTCATTATGATCATACAACCCATATATTGCTTTTCAGAGGCTCTCATGCAATRAATTCTCATGGGATATTTCTATTTCCTCTTTAACTTGTTTCTCTGTGTATTTTCTCCCCAGGGCTTTGCAGAGTGTCACCCAGGAGCGTGGCATCGTCATCACCCGCTCCACCTACCCCAGCAGCGGGAGATGGTCAGGCCACTGGCTGGGGGACAACACTGCAGCCTGGGATCAGCTGCMCAAATCCATCGTGGGTACGTGGCACAAGGGTTTGCATTCCTGGGACTCCCAATCACGGAATGGATTGGCTTGGGAGGGACCTTAAAGCTCATCCCGTTCCACCCCACAGACCAGGCTGCTCCAACCTGGCTTTGCTTCTCCTTCACCTCCTCAYTTTTGTTGTTCCCATGATTTCAGCTGAAAAAACTGCTTCAGCAACCCCAATTTGTGGTCAGTTCCTTTTTTATTTTTTCTTTCTTCTGTACCACAAGCTTGGAACCCTTTAAATTCCCTTGGGACCAGACCCCTCCATGCCCTGTGTCCTGCCACTCCTCTTTTTCTTCGCTCCTGTCCACCCACACCCCATCCCTTTTAGCAGCAGCAAACCATGTCCCATCAGAGAAATTGTGGGGCTTGGATTCGGATTTTTCTCCTCTCCTTCAGCCGTGTAACAAATATTAATAATGGAATATTATAGTCTGTGTGACCATAATGTRAAACACCCCAGCCAGTGACACCGATTTATTTCTCTTTTCAGGCATGCTGGAGTTCAGCCTCTTTGGAATATCTTATGTAAGCTCACGAGTTATTAACTTGTATTTAATTACCCTGATGCTGTACATGATAATGCAATTTCCCATTTGGATTATTTTAAAAATTTCAGACRGGAGCTGATATCTGTGGCTTCTTCCAAGACTCGGAGTATGAGCTGTGCCTTCGCTGGATGCAGCTGGGTGCTTTTTACCCATTTTCAAGGAATCACAACGGGAAAGGAACGAGGGTGAGTGCAATATTTTAACAGTTGGTTACCAACAAAACAATGTACAGGTTGGCCTGGCTCAAAAAAACCCCACATCCCAAGTAAAGTAGAGAAGGAAAGAACATTTTTGGCTCTTTATCAAATAAATATTGTCATTATTTCTATGCTGGCTCTGCTGTAAGCCTGYCCCTCACCTGGGAGGTTTTATGCCCCCAGAGGGGCAGCTCWGGGATCTGGACACTCGTTCTAACTYTGCTTCCACCAAATCAAACTCTGCATATTTTCCCCTCTGCCCCATTTGGGTTKCAATGTGCTCCAGCAGGGCTCAAATGGAGCTTTCATGGCAAACTCACTTCAAGGAGCACAAGTGACCTGGCTGCTCTCAGCCCTAATYGCCCATAATTATACAACAAATGAGAGAACGGGGCCGGGGAATGAGATSCTGGAGTGAGACTCAGGAATTCCTGTGCTTTGCACATTTGCCACCATCAGATATTGTATTTCTGTTAAAAGGGAAATAATTGCCTAAATGTAGGCTRAGGACTGGAGAAAGCTGTAAAACAAGATAACTGGGAAAATAGAAAAAAGGAGAAACAGCACTTGTGCTGCAGGGAAAGCTTCAGGTGCAGCAGAGTGGAGCTGTTCAGATGGCAAATATCTGATGGATGAAAGGCTCYTTTTCAAAGCCGGGGGCTTTATCTCGCAGCACACACCTTCCCCAGCCTCTGAACGCCTTCAAAATGCACATTCAGGGTTATCAGAGCCCTTCCAGTCTCACCCCATTTGCCAGGGTATTGTTCCATCCATTTAATGGAGATGGGGACCTCTCCTGCCATCGGTCACGAGTGCCTCGGACTGTTCCTGCCAGTCTGGGCTGAGAGGGACGGATGATGGATGATGGATGATGTGCAGTGGGACATCACGCCTTGGGGACACTTTGCATTGAACATTTTTTGTAGGATTCCCCTGGGTTTTTATCCACTTTTCCCTTTCTAATTCCCCTCATGGGCTGACAGTGATAACCACTGCTGTCATTTGTCCCGAGCTGAAGAACAAATCCAGGAAGATGCTCTGATTCCGAGGAGAAATTTCCTTGGTTTTGTCTTGCTACGTTGAATTTTTTTTTAGCTTTTCCAGGCAGCCCAATGCAGCTTCTCTAACAACACTCCCTTCTCCTTCAGAGGCAAGATCCTGTTGCCTGGGATGACAATTTTGCAGCGATTTCCAGGGATGTGCTGAAAATAAGATACACCCTGTTACCTTTCCTCTACACTCTCATGCACGACGCCCAYGCCCAGGGCAGCACCGTGGTCCGCCCCCTTCTCCATGAGTAAGTGTGATTCCCCTGCTCTCCTTACCAGGAATTCCTAAAAAACTTCTCTAGTTGGGACCCCCCAAACAACAGAATTTTCTCTGTGTTACAGCATTTTTCCTTTCAAYTAAAAAAAATGAGTCTTGGCTGGGAAAAACTGAGTTTTACCCAATGTGGTGATTTGCCTTTTTCAAAGCAAGTGGGTTAGAAATGGCTGAAATTTAAAAGTTTGCCCCTTTTTGTCATAGATCTTATTATGCTTGTTATTTACAATAAGACCTTCAGAGTTTTGTTGTCTCAACATCCTGAAAAGCAAAAGCAAAAAAAGGGAAAACCCTAAAGCTAAGCATGAACTCGCATTTTCTCCAGTGAGTTTCACATCAGGATCTTTGTGTGTTCCTGCCAACCATTAATTGATCTATGAATAATTAACAGCAATAACGAGGAAATAGGTACTAGAAAGAGTAGGTTCAATGCCTGACAGAAGTGTCTTTAAAGAGGAACATTTTGGGAAAGTTCAGCTCTTGCTGTTTCCCCCTGACAGGTTTGTGGAGGACAGAAACACGTGGGACATCGATCAGCAGTTCCTCTGGGGTCCTGCCCTGCTCATCAGCCCTGTGATGAAACTGGTGGGGCTTTCATTTATTATTAAAATCTGTTTAATTAAGTATCACCTTTTCATGTAAGGTGCCTAAAAGTTGTGTGTTTTGTTGCAGGGTGAAAAAACGGTGAACGCTTATTTCCCCAATGCYCGCTGGTATGATTACCACACAGTAAGTCATCCTAAAAATTATTTTAGAACTTGTATTTTAACTTATATTTTATGTAATTTCACAGTACTGAGGATGGCAGGGAGGTGGGAACATTCTCCTGCCTAATTTGCATTTAACATAAGTTCTTAGAAATATAAAATCTGCTTACAAAAAAAGAATWAAAATCCTCAATTCCTTTATAATACTGTAACATGACCAGAGTTACAGTAAATTAAAAGGTGAAATAATACCTTTAATTTAGATTTCCTTTCACTTTTTGTAGTCTCAAATGACACAGGTTTTTGTAATGGAATCAATGTTCTAACAGAGAAAGGAAAACCAGGTTTAGCTGCATAATTTTTCCCAGAAAATAATGGAAGATTTGGTGATGGGAAGAGCAGGATCAAAACTCTTTTTATAAATCACAGGTTTGTGTTTCACCTGCTTGGCCCCTTGGGCTCAGCTGCCATCACCCAGAGTCAGGCCAGGCTTTTACAGAACCAAAATTCCAGGTTTTCTCAGGTTCACAACTACTCCTGCAGAAACAACTCCTAATTAACCTGTCTAGAGAAATACTATCATTTCATTCCGAAGAAAAACCTGTGAAAATTCTTTTTTTTTTTTGTGCACAGGAGGTGGATACTGGATTCAGGGGACAATTCCAGACRTTACAGGCTCCTCTGGAGCGCATCAATCTGCACATCCGAGGGGGATACATCYTGCCCTGGCAACAACCTGCTAACACAACTGTTTACAGGTAGGAGTCACTGAAAATGGTACATTTATTTGTCTTTTGGTTTTTTTTTTGTTGTTGTTTTGGGTTTTTTTTGGGGGGGGTGGGATTTTGTGTTTCTTGGGGCTGGGTTGTGGGGATTTTTTAATTGGGTTTTTTTTTTTTAGTTTTGTTGGTTTTATTTTGGTTTGAGTTTTTGTTTTTTGTGGGATTTTTAGGTTTTTTTGTTTGTTTTTTGGGTTTTTTGTTCGTTGTTTTTGTGTTTTTTAGAGGTTTTCTTGGCGGGTTTTATTTTGGTTTGGAGTTTTCTTGGGGGCTATTTGTTTTTGGGTTTATGGGTTTCTGTTGGTTTGTTTTTGTTGGGCTTTTTCCGTTGGGTTTTTTTTTGTATTTTTTTTTTGTTTGGTTTTGAGCGCTTTTGCTTGTTTAGTTTGAGTTTTTTTGTTGTGTTTTTCCCTCATGTTCTCCTTTAATAATATGTGAAAAGGGCTATGGGAGGTCAGTTGGGGGATACACAACATTTCTGCAAAAAAAATACCATTTGGGAAATATGGAATGCGCTGAGCTGAGAA